TGAACATATTTTATAATGTAATTAAAGATACATTGGGATTGTGTACAAGTTCTTAAAACTTACTACATCTTCTCCCTATATGGAAATAATACGTTTGAATTAAGTATTAGTTAATCAAATAATCGAAAGTTATACATATACGTACATGCATATTATTATTGAGGTCCTGTATGAAAATGCGGGAGCCTTATAGGAATCATAATTGCCCATCTCTCTGTCCGTCCGACTGTCTGTTCGCCAACACTTTTGTTGTGACAAAAAATTCAAACAATTTTCAAGGAAAGTTTTCGAATTTTGTACATAAGTACTTTACAATAAGCAAGACACATATACGTTTTGGGAATTGTCTGTCCGTCCGTCTAGCCGTCTGTCCGTCTGTCCCTCATCACTTTTGTTGTAACGCGATAATTCACACAGTTTTCAACGTAATGTTTTCAAATATTTTACATATGTACTTTACTATAAGAGCAAAACACCTATAGATTTTGAAGTTATATCATTTTGTCTGTTTGTGTGTATGCTTGAATGTATAATCGTGGCACTTTTTTGGACGCGATAACTCTCACAGTTTATCAAGTTATGTTTTCAAATTTTGCATAGAAGTACGTTACTATAAAAGCAAGAAACCTATAGATTTTGAGGTCATATCACTTCGTTTGCCTGTCTATGCATATGTTTGAATGTATAACCATGACATTTTGTTGTTACGAGGGGTGATCAAAAAGTTTGCGAACTAATTGAACTTCCTTAAAAGATATAAAATGAGGTTACTATGCTCATTATTTTTTAAAGTAGTCCTCTCCGATTATTATGAACATCTGCCATTGTTCTGCCCATGTGCGTATAACGTGATCCAGACGGTCACGTGACATGCTCCGTGGCGTTCTGTTCATAGAAGCTAAAAGATTTTTCCGAGTCTTATATTTCTTACCATGCAAGTTATTTTTTATAACGAGAACAGTCCATCTGCCAGAAATGGCCAAATCTCGGCAATAGGATGGGTGGATAAGGACATCCCTTCCCAGAATTATCATGGTGATCATCAAAACCCGAGTCCTCTGTCTCGGGAACGTCGTTTATTCAATGTGGATAAAATATGGATGAACTTATATTATTGTGAAGAAATTCAACTATTTTTCTAATTGTTTCTTGGCGATCTTTCATAACAAATTGCTCAACTAAGGACACATCTTTCCCCGGCTTGCTTTCGCTGGGCAACAGAACAAACATCATTTTTAACCATCTTCAGTAAAACAATCAATCCAATTAATGAGTGAACTTCTAGTAAGTCTTTAGTCTTCATAAACCTTGTACATAATATCATATTCTACTGCAAAGGAATTTGCAAGATATACGTTAAACTTTACAGCCGTTCGTTGCTCGAGTACGACTGAGTCAACCATTTTTTGTCACAAATCACTTTTGTAAATATAGAGATAGTTTGCGAACTTTTTGATCACCCCTCGTATGCGACAACTGAAACCGTTTTCAATGTATTATTTTCAAATTTTGTACAGAAGAACTTTACTATAAGAGCAACACGCCAATAGATTTTGGTATCTGTCTGTTCATCCTTTCGACCTTTAGAGTTTAGGGTCATATTACCTTGCCTGTCTGTCTGTACGTATGGTTGAATGTATATCATTGACACAAGAACTTGAAAAGTTTCCAACGTATGGTTGCAAAAAACAAGCAAACAACAAAAACAAATAAACAAACAAAAAACAAATAAAACAAAACAAAACTAAACTAAAAAAAAAAACAACAACAAAAAAAAAAAACAAAAAAAAAAAACCAAAACAAAAACAAAACAAAACAACCCCCCCCCCCCAAAAAAAAAAAAAAAACAAAACAAAAAAAAAAACCCATAAGATCTATCATATCATTTGTAATTCGCATTTATTTGTCTAAACTTTTTTACGAGAACATATTTTTTCATTAATACCTTGAAATCTGCATTTTGAATTTCTACTCCTTGACATCTTTTGTTTTTCTAAATTTCCTTAACATTATAAAGTTATTATTGTTTGATAGGTATAGTAAGCAGCGGCCTCTTTCTCGTCAATTGGGCTGCCGCTTAATTTTTTGAAAATTATAATACGATTCAATAATTAATTGAAAAAAGATTAATAAATTTGTATACATGTATTTATTTACCTATTTATTTTTTTTATCTACATGTATAATCATCCACCTGTTGAGGAATTATTTTGGGTTATAAGGAGCAGTGAAAGTCTCATCTTGTTTTTAAACGACATTTGATTAAAGGGTGTATCCCGTTACCATAGTCCTGTTACCATAGTCATGGTGTACGTAAGTATAACTCCCTTTACATTTACACCTTCCACCCCCACCCCCACCCTCCACCTCCAACTTCTTAAAATACCAGGTGTAGATACAAATTAATTTTTGAATATACAAAATGAAAAAAAAGTTTAATTTCATGTCGCTAATAAAGTAGTGATTATATTCCTTGCTTCTATATTTACTGTAACAGTATTTTTTTTTTTTTTTTTTTTTTTTTTTTTTGATCGGGGGAGTGGGGAGGGGGGGGGGGGTATGTTAATGATCAATCATTACGTACAAAATCTGTCTCAAGAAAAATTATTATAAATTGCATTTTTATCAGTTCCTAAAATTGAAATTAAGATGAATAAATTTAAATAATAAATCGTTGGACGGCCATTTTTACCCCTTTTGAGGTTATGAGGAATGATAAGAAATAAATGATGACTAAATGTCGGTGTAAAAAAGTCAATGCGTATCATTACAATGTATGAGGGTTGTTAGAAAAGTCCGCGGACAAATTGATTTACTGAAAATTTATTGTGTACTTTGAAGCATGAGATATATCTGATTAAATTCTTATCTTTTGTTTATTAGTATGTAAAAAATCAGGTCCATTTACGAAAATTTTGAAAATATACAATGAATTTTACTGTGCGGTCATAGGGTTCACGGAGCAATCACTAGACGACGTTTCAGTTTTCTAGTGAAACAGTAAATCTGCTAGACTGTTTGATAAAATTTTGAACAATAAAAAAAGACATTCATTATTTGCAGCACTCAGTAAATCTGTCCACATGAAAAATGTAAATCTTATCTAATCGAGAAAAAAAAAATGTCAACGAAATCTTCTCTGGCTTCAATGATATGCATCGTCTACTTTACCACAAAGGGCTTGCAGTTAGATTGTATCTATACAGGTCAGTATTTAGTACATAATTATGTCGAAGTCTGGTATGAAGAAAATTCAAACGTCTGTTCCAGAAAAAAAAAATAATTAAGGTGGGACAAACTTTAGAATGCTAATTCTAGCTTTAAAACTTGAAAATGATGGTTTATTTCTAACAAGTTGTAATAAGTTCCATTCATTAACAATATCGACAACGTATTATAAATTAGCAATAGTCACTTCCATTCATATGTTGACTCGATATATCCCAGTGAGTTTGATAAAAAAGATACCACAGAGTCTGACACATCTGTTTCATATTTGGATATTTTACTAGAAAAAGACGTAAATGGTAACCGAGCAACCAAGCTTTATGATGAACGTGATGACTTCAACTTTTCAATTGTAAACTTCCCTTACTTATGTAGCAATATATCACCTGCATATAGGGTTTTTGTCTCCAAGTTGGTTCGATATACAAGAGCATGCTCTACGTACGAACAATTTCTAAAACGAAGCAAGCTATTGACAAACAAGTTGATGAAACAGGAATATCAACAGCCTCGTTTAAAGCAATCATTTCGCAAGTTCTATGGTCGATACAATGACCTTTTCAGCAAATACAATCTATCATTAAGCCAAACGTTTTCCATACTAATTGTTAGGCCATTACACACTGAATTGCCTACGGGATTTTTCCGTTTTTCCCGATCATGACAAAGAGCACAAGGCGGATGTGACCATGGCAACTGATCCCACCTCTGATGTTTTGGAGGTCCGTGTTTGCTCTGCTCCTGATTTGTATTGTTTGAATGGACTTTTCAACTTGAATACAGTTCATTATCTCCATATTTAATCGTAGAAAAACTAAATGCATTGCAACTCATATTGAGAAGTATGTTCGTTAAAATAATATGGCAATGGGTTAATATGTATCTTGTACATTGTTCTTAATCTTGCCTTTTCTCTTCTTCAACTAACCATTTTCCTTAATCTTTGGACGTAATTGTTGTTAAACCTGTTACTATTCTAGCAGCATAAAGATGTAATTTTCTTTGCTTTTAATTATAACTGGTAAGACAGTATCCTCAAACCACAGAGGTATTTTCAAGTTGCGGTCTTATAATTGACGTGTACATAAGAGAAAGTTTTTTTTTACTTAAATTTTAATATTTTGAAAACTTTCAATATGTGTTGATGATATTTGCTTTTCCTTGTACTAAAAATAATGTGTCATGTATTATTTCAGTTCGTGATCCATAAATTATATTATTATACCTCATTATTATAATTCTATAAAACGCGTTATTTGATTAGTTCTAGATTATCACATGACAGGGCCATAAAACTTCATATTTCCCTGTCGTTGCCATGCTTTTCATCATATTCAACCTCTTCGGAGACCTAGTGCATTTTCCCGCAATAGTTATCGTTCGTTGAACGAAAATTCCCGAGAGTAGTAGACGTCACAATAGCCTGGTTCACGTCACAGAAGTGCTGAAGTGTTTCAGTAACTTTACGTTAAAACTGAAAGTGAATTTGAGAGCAGTGCCGAATTTGAAAGTTTGTGTTTATTTTTAAAGTTTTTGCTTGTTTCGGTATAATAATTTATTGCATGAATATTCGGGAAACATGAAGATTTATTCAGCCAAGAAATATCATATTCCCCTCGGGCGAAGCCCTCAGGGAATATGATTTTTCTTGGCTGAAAAAATCTTCCTATTTCTCTCACGATCATGCAATAAATGTATAATATCATTCCACTGAAATCGAAATTAGTCATCTTTTAGTCCTCATTTTTTTAAATTAATTATTCTGAATATTTCAGGACCTTTTCCAAGTTATTGTTAACTAGTTTTCGTATATCTGAACCAAACGACTAATTTCCGTGTTTTCGAGTATGGCAGACATTAAAACAAGATCCATTTTCTTCCTTATTCTGTGGAACTGTTTAATTAAAAATGGACAGACAATGTTTCAGCCACATCCAAAATGCCAACAAATTTCGGTTCCTCTGTGTAAGGATTTATCGTACAATTATACTGTCATGCCAAATCTTTTACACCATCAGAAACAAGAGGACGCTGGATTAGAAATACATCAGTTCTTCCCCCTTGTGAAAGTCGAATGCAGTCCTCAGCTGAAGTTTTTCTTATGTACGCTGTATTTACCGATGTGTTCAGCTCAAGGAGAACCGATTCCGCCTTGTCGCTCCATATGCAACGATGCTAGATCTGGATGCGAAACGCTGATGACAAAATTTGGATTTCAATGGCCGCAGAGTTTAGCTTGTGAAAATTTTTCAGAAAATCGTACATGTGCTCGAGATAATATGCCTCATCCTCAAGAAATTGCCACATATTCTCCAACAGTCAAAGAAAGAAATACAAGTATGAGTCCTCAAACATTGTCTCCGCCATATGCAAAATGCCAAGTGATTTCAATAGACATGTGCAAAGACATGCCCTACAATTATACAATATTGCCAAATATTTTAAACATCCAACACCAAGATGACGCTAGATTACAGCTGTTAACGTTCACCCCTCTTATACAATATGGATGCAGTCCTAAGCTTAAATTTCTTCTATGTGCATTGTATGTACCAATGTGCACAGAACAAGGAGAAGCTATTCAACCCTGTCGCTTCATTTGTAAAGACGTTAGAAAGGACTGTGAGAAGGTATTGGAGAGTTTTGGATTTCCGTGGCCACAGAGCTTAACATGTGAAAAACTTCCAGAAAGTGGTAAATGCTCTCAAGAAAATATGCCTGATCAAATAGAATCAAACAACCATTCTTCTATAAAACGAGGTAAATATCATTATTTTTATAGCTTAGTATGAAGTGAAAAAGACAGGACAAAATATACTTAAATTAAAATACAGGCATTTTGGTGAGATTTAATTGTCTATACAGTGCTGCTTCTAAAAAATCTAATTTAACAGAAATATAAAATCGCTTATGCATGTTCATGCAAGAGGCTTGAAAGGATCCTTTCTCTATTCAAATTGTAAGCAATGTGGAAGAGAGAGAGAGAGAGAGAGAGAGAGAGAGAGAGAGAGAGAGAGAGATTCTCTTTCAATCAAATGTCATTGCATATACTCTGCTTTGAAAAATTTAACCTCTTTAACAAGCATTTTAATTTTTTTCGCATCGCTTCCTATTTCTATGTTATGAATCACTTTGCTTGCAGTACATATATTCGTCGAAATACATCGTGTTTCAAATAATATCGTTTATACAGTGACCGTTGGTAATTGATAAAATATATGTAAAATGTATTTTAATGATTGAAAGATTTCTCGGTTATTTGAACATACTAAGATTGTATTTGGTCTGTATATGGATAGGAGGAAAAACTGGAGGCATTACGTCTTTCTGAATTCATTGTGTCGTATTTATTCAAATATTTTTAAGCTCTTCTATCCACTGCACATGTTTCACCTATAAAATTAGAAAATGCATTGTTTTCAATCCATGAATCATTTCTGCATCATTTCATTTTTATAGGAAGGTGCAGGCCCTTTTAATTTCTAAGTGCATTTAGTTTTTGATGTCAGTCTTATCTGCCATATAATTAAGCATTTTACAATACTCAACAAACATCAAGGCCAAAAGCTTTGCTGTATATTAATGGATTAACTTTAAAACTATGTTGAAATACTACTTAATTCGTCTCATAAATATTGAAAAGGGAAGGCCGAATCCTGTTTAATATTCTACGGATATAAAAAGTATATTTGTAATGATAATTACAAAAGATTACATGAAAGTAACAAACAGAGGTATCAGATTAGTATTTATATTAATTATTGTTGATAATACCGTCATTACATCGTTGTCTATTCGTTAAGGTCCATACTTCTGCACATCGAAATTTTAATATATTTATGAACCGGAATCTCTCAAGCTGTTGTTACCCTTTTGGGTGCTTATATCCGTAGCGCTCTCCAATGTACGTTGTCTGTTACTTCACAACGTAGATCGAACTGCTGTTGATTTTTAAACAATTTATGATGAAATTATGGAACAGTTTGATGATTTAAAATTGCAACGTACAAGTAAGTATTGAAATTGAAAGGTAAGATACTTTCTATATTTAACAGATGATGAAAAGGCCACTTTTATGTGAAAATAGAAGATTCATTCCAGTACAAATAAAAAATTTAGCACTTCACTTTCCAAAACTATTTGTCAATGTGTGTGAATGCATATGCGATTGCAAAAGAGTGAGATAGGAGATAGAATGCGCACAAAATGATCTCCACATTTTTTAATGAAGAAATGGGAAAATGTCTAAAACGGGAAGTAGAAATTTTAAAAGTTTGGGCATTCGATGTAAATCAGAAAATGTTTTTTAAAGGGATACGTTATAAATGTTTAGGTAGATACACATTTTACAGTAGCTTTGCATACGTTTTTTCTCAATACTTCATAAAGCAAAAATTATTTATGAATAGACCAATGAGGAGAAATTTATGTTTCTTTTATCGTGTGATGCTGGATTTTTGGAGAAATATATGGACGTTGTTTTAAAGGCAGTGTCGCTTTTTCAATCGGACATGGTTTAATGGTTGTGCAGCAGAGACTCTTTGTCCTGAAGGTACATGTATACTTTTAATATACATTCAAAGTTTGGAATTGATTTCGAGGAAAAATGATATCCCATTAATTTACATTTCCAAAATACATTAAGCAAGATCATTTATATAGTTGAAGGTTGCCTGGTTGTTTTAAACTGGATTTAAGAAATCACATTACCTTGAGTTGTGTTTGTCTTATTAATATAAATTTAAAAAAAACACTCTGCGGAAAGAGTTTTTTCCAACTAGATATAAACATATTTGCTAGTAATATAAATATTATCATAATTACGATTTGGTTGTGACCCAACAGTTACAATCTTTTTGAAATGTTGCCAAAAAAAAAAAAATCTCTGCGACAAAAGAATGATATTAAGTTATTGTTCTTGAGAAAAGGCAAAATATTACTGGTTAACGCAATAATTTATGTGTATTTCGAAAATGAATGGTGCACACGAACATTTTCCAAGTTATACAGGTAATTTGTTGGTCTTTATTTACATTTTTTTCAAAACTAAAATTTCGGTGAAAATTACTTTAGAGGGATTCAATCAGGTCCCAGTAAGGGCCCAGTATACAGCTGACAAAACACCTTGTTGATGCAGTTGAGGTATTCATAAATGAATTTTTTCTTAGAGTAAAGGTTGTATTCCTGAGAAGTTTGATATTTAGTGTAAGGATAATGTAGAGGACACTGTTCAGTCATAAACGACCGCCCAATGCCGGGGAGGCTGCAGTCCTGTTAGGAAGACCTCTTGTGGGATAAAGGTAACACTGAATAAATATGCAAAACATCCGCATTCAGTTTTCTTTAATTTATTTTTATGCAGATGTAGTAGAGTTACTTTTATTAAAAAATAATAAAAGTTGAAATGATTTTAAATGAAATAAAATAAATATTAGATATAAATTAAATAAACTAAATAAACTATTAAATATGTTAGAAATGCATAAATGATAAGTTTCCATTAAAGTTTCATTCTGTTCATTCTTTACTAACATGGGTATTTAGTGACATAGATATACACCCCTTTGGATCCACACCTGTACTTTTACATGACCACACACACATCTATTGGTCAGATTTTGAAATGGTTAGATTTCATTGGTTGTAGATTTGGTCTTTGTGGAGTACTGAGTTTTATTCAAGATTTCATGGTGTAAGACATACAGTTTAAGCTGCTGACTTTATTTATTTCTGAAGACCTAAGACAGTTCCTGAAAATGTAAGTTTTTTACCTTTTTATGCCTATGAGATGTTTTTCCATAATTTATGTGAAATAGGTGGAAAACAGAATATTTTACTTTTAAATGTTAACATATTGAATTATCTGTCTGTATGATCAGATGTAGATAAATCTGATGGAGTTTTCTTATTAATTAATTTGTATATATACCTAGAAATATTTTGCTGTGAATATTTTGGTAATCAAACTAATTTAAATATCTATTGGTTATGAGAAAGGTATTTGTAAAGAACAAATCCTGATTATTTTATTTATTGTACATAGGTAACACCATAAGTAAACCATACAAATAATTGAAATTGGAGAAAGTTCAATTCCATAAATTGGTATGTCTATCTGTATATATATATTTTTATGATTTGTAAAGAAACATAAAAGAAAGATAACTCTTCACAAGACTATCAAGAGTAATTATGTTGTAAGAGTTAACTCCCTTGTATAGAATATCTTCATTTTATCATATCGGGTGAAATTGATAAATATGATAATTAATTGTAAAAGGGAAGACAGATAATTTGTTTTATTTTTAGATCAGAATATTAGATAATTGATATATATTTTGTACATATTTTTATGACGCAATTTGTATATTGCAGGACATTTCCATATTATCCATTTATCTATCATCAACTATGTCACCTTAATAAAAGAATAATTTAAAATTTACAACTGAGTGTGTTTCCATCATTGCCGGGAATTACCGCTACACAGACACCATGAAAGGTAAATGTATAAATCTAGATGAAATGAACATACGAGGGGCATTTCAAAAGTTCTTGCAACTGGTGTGCGGTAAATTAAAGAGCGTCATTATCATAAATTAAATTATATCAATCCCTCAAAATAGTCTCCGTTGACCTGGACACACTTTTTCAGTCTTGAAATCCACGTGGAAAATGCTGCCCTATAGTCCTCTTTCGGTATACGCTTCATACACTTGAATACGGTACTTCCGACTGCATGACGACTTTCAAATCGACGTCTTAGGAGGGCTTCTTTGATAACGGCATTCAACCAAAAATCGCATGGAGCTAGGTCAGGACTGTAGGGTGGATGTGGTAAAAACGGCAATACCATTTTCCTTTAAATATTTGGTTACTACCTCTGATCTATGGGTAGGTGCGTTGTCATGGAGGAGCTTTATTCCTCTAGTACTGGTTGTTGGTCGGGTCGTTTTATAGCGCTCTACAACCTGAGACAAGGCATTCTCTGCATAAAATTGACCAGTAACACTGCTGTGTTCTGGAACCGGAACTTGAGCAACAGGGCCTTTAGAATAAAAAAATATGGCGTACATTAATCTCCGGACAGACCGATTTCTGCGTGCAATTTGAGGCCTTGTATCATTTTCACCGATCCAAACTTTATTATTGAGCTTAGTTTCCGGTTCAAAAAAATATATCCATGTTTCATCACCAGTTACAATCTCATTTATTCGCCTTTGGTCACAATCTTCATAAATTGTTAGTAACTGTGAAGCCATTTCTACCCGGATGCGCTTTTGCTCTTCCGAGAGAAGATGCGGCACCCATCTAGCACAGACTTTCCTAAGCTTTAAGTTTTCCTTTAAAATACGAAAAACTGTTGACGAATTAATGTTAGTTAAGTCTGCTATTTCCTCAACTGTATATCTAGCACCATCAGCTATCGTATTTTGAACAGCGACGATTTCTTTTTCGCCATATGCACAAACTGGACTCCCCGAATTGGGGTCATCTTCAATTGATTTTCTACCCTCTTTAAATTGAACTACCCATCTTGCTACTGCTCGATATGAAAGAGCATGCTCTCTATATACTACATCTAAATCTGCTTTTATTTCTGTTGCCGTAAAGCCAAGCAATGAGCGAATTTTGCAATACGCTCTTTGCTCAACAAAAAAATTGTTCTCTTTATCAGTCATTTTACGCCCAGTATACAGAGTATACCTAATTATGACGTCATTTTAGCAGACCTATACGTCATTTTGAATGTAAAATGACGTCACTACTAATGCATATTTGCCTAAGCTTTACGGTGGTATCAGAGTCATTTTAATCCGTAACGTATTTAAAATTTTATATACCAGTTGCCAGAACTTTTGAAATGCCCCTCGATAGTCTTGTGCGATAGAAACTTTTAAAATTCACTTCTTGATTTTATGAAATGGAAAACACCCACTAAAACAATATCTCTCTGGTATAAAGAAAGCTCTGGCCAATCCTTGAAAAAAATGGCGTGGTCTATTTATATTTTCTTTTTGTGTGTTTGTACAGCAGAGCGAAACTTAGGGGTCACTTTACCCGTCGTCTGTCTGTCCGTTATACTTTATATCTTGTGACTTTAAGAGATAAGGATTTCGATATTTTGCTCAAGAATTCCAAGGCACAATGGCTTTATAAAATACGATGTTCAGTGAACTCGCATTTGTTTGACCTTTGATTTATTTTTTTCCAAAGTAATCCGAAGTAACAATATATACCATTATATATATATATATATATATATATATATATATATATATATATATATATATATATATATATATATATATATATATATGTATATATAGACAGTTTTTACGAAGACTGCCGGTACGCCGGTGTCATATAGTGAGACTTCCGCCATAGTGAGACTTCCCCCCGGAAGTCTGGCTATATAGTGAGTCTTCCCCCTGGGGGGAAATATGGCTATATAGTGAGACTTCCCCCCATAATGACCATAGTGAGTCTTCCCCCTTCGGTTTTCGGTTTGGATTTTATATACATTGACATAATTAAATATTTATTGTATGCTTTAGGGACCTTTTAACTTTTATAAATTTTATGAAGTATTTTTAGGATTTGTATTTCATTTTGAAATTTGCTTGATATTAATGAAATTACATCACTATAAATCAAATAAGATGGATTTGAGTTCTAATACAGTTTAAATCAAATTCTGACTGTCATGCATATTTTAGCAAAGGCACCGGATGCATGGATTGGGCTTAAACCCCCCCCCCTTTTTTTTTAACCTGAAAAATTGCATGAAAATGTGTGCATCCCCTGCTCATCACACCCATACATCAATTCATACAATTATTTTTTTCATTTTGGTCGTGTTTTAAAAATTATTTATTTAAAGATATTTTATTAAACTGGGTTTGGACGATTGGATGTTTGAATACACGTATAAAAAATACAAAAATCCGCAGTAAATTTCTAACAAAATGTATCAGTATGAGTCAGAAGAAATTTTATTATAAAAAAAAGAACAAACAAAAATACTTTCAGAAAGAGAGACACAGGCATTTATTCAGAATAAACATTTTAATTCTTTCAACATTGAACTACGAAGACAACCAAGGGGAGATCATTTACTTTGAAAGGGAGCTCAAACTCGGTTTTTTCATTTACATGTTGAGAACAAAATCCTGTATGATTATTGCCATAATGAGCATCTTAAAGAAAATATACGCAAGAGAAATATCTTGCCAACCAATTGGACGACGTTTGTTTCTACGAAACTATGTCAAAATACTTCATATTGAAGGTGTTGATACTTTTCAACAAAAAATCCTATGGATAAGGGATTTGCTAATGTCCCTTATTTACCAAATACAAATGGATGGTAACGACATGAACTGTTATTTCCAACTTGTCTTATGCGAAGCTTTGGAGGATTTGATGTGTGTCTATGATAACCCCCAAGACCACGAGCTTGCAGACTTTATTTTGGATCTGACCTTCGAAATTGAAAACAGAATAAAACATGTGAAGCCAGGCGATATTTACATTCCTGGAGCATACTTCCAATTTGTTGGAAGTTTCCGGGCTTTATTTGGATTGATGGGCTTTGGAGATCATCTTGATGACCATCACCAGGCAGCGTCTACTGACTGAACATGAGCATCTTATGAAATAAACATGCAAATGAAATAAAATGTTTGTTAAAAAATGTTTTTTAAAATCAAATTTATTGTCTTTACATAAATATAAGATTTATTTTTTTTTTATTTAAAAATATTCCATATCAAATTAATTATATTTGCAAAATATTCATAGGCTAGATCATCATGACAAGTCAGGAGCGAGGGAGTATGAACGTACCTCCGCGATATTTGGTTCAAAATCCTACTTGTAAAGAGTTAATCCTTCTTAATACTAGTTATCTAATTAATTAACTCGCAATAACACACAGCGGACGAAGAAAATGAAAAAAAAAGGAATAGACAGAACGAAAAACATGGACTGTATTACGAACGGACAGACAGAAAAAAATCACAATGAGAGAAATACATGCACATATATTAGTAGAGAAAGAGAGAGGGGGGGGGGGAGGAGATATTCAATAAAATTAAATGCAAAATACATATTGAACATGTATATTTTAGTCATTCCTATATTGTATTAAATTTTTTTAAAATTTTAAATTCCTCAGTTAGGTTAAATAAAATTACGTATATGTTCTGAAATATATGTGTTTAATAAAAATAAATCTAAGCGCCTCTGATCCTGAGTTAAATAATATATTATTTCAAGAAAATCGGTGAACTATTACTTTTCCAATATTTTTTGTTATCAAAACGGGTTTTATCTGCTTATATTTAATATATAAAGTTGTAATAATTTTAAAGTTTGTTTTATAAAATGCGTGCATACTGGTTTTCGTCAATTGGAGAAAAACGACCACGGCGCTCAAATCACTGACTCTCTCGTGATTTCAGCAAATTGAATCATGATCAGTTACGGACCTTTCATAAAAATCTGAGATTTATGTGCTGTAGTGTAAATTTTTGTCGAACCACTGATCTATGAAGTCTTTAATATTGTAAACGTCCCTGTGGATAAAGTAAATGAAATATTTTCCCATCAATTTTACATTTCAGCATATCTATTAAATGATGCTTAAAATTATCCTTAAAGTAGATTTAAACTTTATGTACATGAAACTTTCGATAAATATAGCTAGGAACTAAGAAAATCATAATTGAGATTTGGAATGCATGTTTTATTTTTCACATTCGAGCACAATTATTTTATTTCTCGCATAGTCTTAAAGTACTATAAATTTTTCTTCTTTTCGCTACATTTTTTATTAAATCAGTTGAACCATATCTAATGTGTAAATAGCTAATGTTTGTACACAAACAGAAAAACAAACAAACAAAACTATGCTATCAATTTTTTTTTATTCATATGCTGAAAACAATCAGAACATTCCATATAAGTGACTCGTGAACTAATAAGATTATTCGTTATCAATACATGTAAAGGAAAGGGTATACATATTATATATATTATATCATCTCAATGTACATGCGTATGTTATAATGGATATCAAACAGTTAAAACGATATTCAAACTGTTCATGCATATATAAAATAAATTTATAAATACATGTATATATATGGAAGATAATTTCGTCATAAATTAACACTGTTAGAATTTTTTTAAATAATAAAACAATGTTCCGGAAACTATAATAAGAGGGGGAAGTCTCGCTATGAGTGGGGGAAGGCTGGCTATAAAGTGAGCCTTCCCCCCGGAAGAACGGCTATATAGTGAAACTTCCGTGGGGGAAGTCTCACTATATAGCCATTCTTCCGGGGGGAAGGCTCACTATATAGCCAGCCTTCCGGGGGGAAGACTCACTATATAGTGAGCCTTCCGGGGGAAGCTTCACTATGGGGGAAGTCTCACTATACGACACCGGTACTACTCTTTTGGTCTTAATATTGCTGGGGAAGAGGAGTATCAATGTCATGACTTGAACGGAACCTGGAAAGATGGTTGATATCAAGAATATATGCAAAAAAGTGTGATGAGGTGCATTATTCATGCTTTAATATATATATGGTCTTAAATTCTGGGGGGAAGGGGGGGGGGGGAGATACCGAAGCAATGTCATCACGTGAACGGAACTCAAAGAAATGGCTGTGATCAAGAATATTTCAATTTGAGTACATTCCTTTTAATTTATGCGATACAGAACTGACGTACAAATTGATTTTTGTTCGGAATTGATGAGTCAGTAATAGAATATATTTCCCAGATGCCATTAAATTCAATTGACAAGTGTGCCTTTCATCTTTTACTACAACACATACGAGTTATTGAGGAGAATAATATTCCTTAGTGGAATGTTGCTAAAACCTTCGATTTTTTGCAGTACTCATGTGGAACCTTGACCTGCTTCGAGATTTTAGGAGTTATTTTTTTCCAGCTTGTATCTTTAGATATTTTGGAGATAAATACGATGAGGAATGTAATACATTTTGTTGGATAACACGTGACTGTATCCACGTGACACGTAACTGTAGCCACGTGATGGTTCTGAACAGACGGATGCAAGGCTGACTGGCAAAGAGAGGATTGTTTCCAATGTAATATAAACAATTATGATTATTTTAAAATTCAAAGATACTTAATGTTTTAATTCTGCTGACAACTTGTTTTTTTTATTATTTTTATTTCTTACTTTTAGAATGAATGATAAGAAATACTTTATTTAAGGTGAGAAAAGCTTGTTTTGTCTTATTAGTGCCAAAATTAATATTATTTTACCAATCATGGCAAACGTAATTCAATCAAAATGAAATTATTTCTTCATATCTGAGATAAAGAAAAGACCCTGTGTTCATTTATTCTTCTATTCAGATTTTGCGTTTTTAGTCCAATTGAAAGAAAAACCCGACTGACAATCCCGGTTTGATGGAGTTCTTGTTACGCTTTGTGTAGAAGTCTTCACTGTATAGGTGTTTCTACTGCAACGGTACATAAAGTGGCGATTTAACGGTAATTTTTTCACATTTATTTGTTTGTTGTTAAAAGCGATGATATAATGTTGCTTTACAACACTTGTTATCATAAGTAGTGACTTACTAGGTAATTATGACATTCTTGGTGCAGTAGATGTGAACTGTACGATGTCATACTAAAAAAAACAGTGAACCCTATTGATGGAAATGGTTTCTCCTTTTTTTTTTTTAATTTTAACTATCCTTTTTACAATCATACATTGTGAAACTTCATATAAGTATTATCTTAGAAAAATACACTGTACGTATAATTAATATTTAGGTCTTTTTTTTAAATGTATAATTTGTCTATAACCAATTATTTGTTTGTAATTATTATCTTTATAAAGAATGTGTCTTTTATTTTAATCCGTAACGATCTTTTCTAGTCGAAATGTGTTTGTCATCCGTATGTCTGTATGTTAATTTTTCACACTTCTCTAGAACCGTACTATTATAATCCAATCTTAATAGAAAGAATAAAGAGAATATAAAAGAGAATAAATGACTACATTTTCTTGAAAGGGGAGATACTGTAAATCACTCTTTATTCACGGGAACTTTATTTTCGCGTAATTACGCGAGACAATGTGCTTGCGAAAATTTCATTCTCCCGTATATTAGTATTCCGTAGGATTATATAGAGCAAAAACCACAATTCGTGAGAATTTTGTCTCGCTTATAAAGATTAAATGACTAATATTCCGTAGGATTATATAGAGCAAAAACCACAATTCGTGAGAATTTTGTCTCGCTAATAAAGATTAAATGACTATTTCGCTAAAATAAAATGACGAAAATTTAGTGATCTACAGTAATCAAGAAAAGATAAAAATAAGATGGATGTCTTTAAAAAAAATCTTCTCTAGAACACTGTATCATAAAAGACAAAATGTAAGTGAAAGATTCTTAACATAGCGTAAAATCAACTTAGAATCAGACCGGGGTAGGGTGGGGCCACAATATAAAATAAAATTATAACATCGGAATAAAGAAGAAAAATATTTTTAAAATCTTCTAAGGAACAGCGGATCAATGATTATTCAAAGTAATATGCAAGAATTATCAGGCAGTGTAGATTCAAGATGGTATATATTCAGGTACAGGGTGTTTCATAATATATGTCACACATCTAAATGGGCATAATCAGAATATCAAGCATGATACCAAAAATACCAAAATACCACAGACAATCATATTAATCTAAAATTATGATATTACAAAATATAGGGAAAATTATAATTCCATGAAGTAAGCTGATGATGTAATCAGTGTTGTCATGATTTCAGCCGTTCTCAAAATGGAGTACTACTAGCAACAAAAATTTGAGATTTGTAAACTTTTATTATAAGCACGATATCCTAAATATTCTATTGACATTGTCAAATTGAAGTCAATCATTGAAAAAAACTTGAGAAAGTCAGTTAGATCTGAGTTTAGGGAAATGGATTGGGACAATGCAAGTGTATCAAGTGTATTTAGAAATTTTCGATTTAAATTGAGTGTGTCTGCATACAAGATTTCAGCATTACAGCATTTAAAGCCAACTGACAATCGGAGTTGGTCAAGTTTGCAAAATTGATTGAAAGAGCAAAAGAAGTGGACGTCAGCACGTACCGGTAGTTCTGAAATGACACATTTATTTAAATGCATCTTTAAATAAGAAAATGAATATGCACTTCCGGGGGTTCTAAAAAGCTAGATATATATTTATATTTTTTAGTTTTATATATAAAACAAGAAATCTGTCAAGTATCCTGTGAAACGTACGAGGCAGTAGTCAGAAATTTCTGAACACGAATCTCTTAAGTTATTTAGGACAATGGTAAGGAAAACACGTGGAGTATAACATTTTAGGAAATCGTTGCCATAGAAACTGAAATGGAGAATGTTGGATACTTTTAACTTAAAATAATAATTTTGAATATCTGCTGATTACAATGATATATAAAATGTATATGTAGCTTTTGTTGTAGTTTTCTTTCTCCCTTTAGGTGCGTGACATATATTGTGAAACACCCTGTATATTGAAATTATATCCACTGGGGATAGAGTTGGGCCACAAAAGGAGAAAACTTCACATGGGAATATTTTGGAAAACAAATTTTCTCAATAACAGTAAGGCATTAATTATTCATATTTTATTTACGATATGCTGTATCAACGGTTTTTTGATATCATATATATGCTTCTTTTGTATTCCTATCGAGAATGTGTTTGTGTTGATTGCTATTTGTAGATTTTGATCAATATCCAAGGTATTTTAGATTAAAGATTGTTTTAAATCCTCAGCAACGGGTTAGGGTTGGGCTGAAATAGAGGATCAAAGTTGTTCTTGGGAATGTTTGAGAAAAGAATACTGTAGATCTACCTTTTTTTCCTCGTGGGATTAACTTCCTCTATGTACACAGTCACAGAAATTTGTCACAGCGTAGTTCAATTACCTTTAAGCATTTTGCTGCAGATCTGTATCGCACTAGCCACAGGATTCAATTCAATGTGCAGTCGTCAGTTTCATTTTTAGAACCAGTGGTCTACAGATCTGCAGCTATCAGACAGTCATGCAGTCATTGAAAAAGAACCTAGGGACCATATTTGATAACATCCTATCAATCCGAAGTCGCATTGTTGAACATAAAGAGAAATACTTCAATCTTATTTTTAAGAAGGCGTACATACACAATTCTGGAGATTGATATTAATTTGTTTAATATATTGTAAGAATACATGCAATGAAGCGAGGGCAGTCCAAAAAGTTCGTTGACACATGCTTTTGTGGGTTTACATTAACTATCTGCTAAGTCTGTCCGATAATATTTAAATACACAGCATGATAGATAGTTTTCAGTAGGCCCAAATTATCAAGAGTTATTTCCCGTTGGCCGCCATATTGGAGGTCAACATGCTCATATTCCTTCCTTATTCAACCAATTTAAACTTTTTATACTGGCCATTGTGGGGTAGGAAGCATTGTTTTTCTGAAAAATATACATTTTTACCAGGTTGACCACCAAGATGGCGGCCAAGGGAAATAACTCGAAGAGGAAAGACGTTGTATGAAAACTATCTATCTAGTAAATATATAAAAATCAGAGCAATGCACAATAAATCAGAATGTTATCAAAATGTATACTTTGTGCATACAAGACACACAGCCCTGTCCGACGTTAAGCCAAATTCATAATAATGTCATGATTTTCATCACAAATCAGTGGTCTTCCATTTCTTGAACATTTCACATTTACGTTTACATTCGCAACGTTTACATTTATATTTACGTTTGAATTTACATTTGCAACGTTTACATTTACGGCACACATCTTCCTCATCCTCTGCATGCACGAATTAATGAGACATATGTTCCTTGGATATTGATCAAAATCTACAAATAGCAATCAACACAAACACATTCTCGACAGGAATACAAAAGAAGCATATATATGATATCAAAAAACCGTTGATACAGCATATCGTCATCACTATTATTGATCAAAAAAGAACATACGTTAAAAATTAGAAACATAAAACTATAAATGAACAACATCATTACGTTTATGAACTTCTAATGTCATGTTTTCTAACTACAGCCTTTCTTTTTGAAATGACTGCATACTATATGAAATTGGATAGCATTTGTAATTTTGATTAAAATTGTAGGTATAAAACATCCAAATATGAAACAGATGGCGCATAATTTGTAGTGTCTTATATTTGGAGTACACAGAGTTTGTAATGAGTAGGCGACATATGAAAGAAAGTACTATTGTTAATTGATATGTTGTTGATGTATCTAAATGTTATATATCTAAATGTTGAGTTGAATGCCACATAAAGAGTTTCCTCCTTCTTGTGTAGAAGTTTTAAATAAAATCTGCTTCATAGGAATATACAAACTGAGAAAAACAATTAGTGCCCATGCGAAGAGTGCTTAACAATAAATGTCTTTTTAAATTTATCTGCATTTAAATAGGAAAGAGGTTGGGAGGTGCTGACAATCATGTTATACATGTAAACAAACTTGTCGATGAATGAAATAATCAATGTAGTCAATCCTATAAAAATGCACAAAATATATTTATGCACTTAAATGCACTAAAATATATTTATTGCTGTGGTAAAATTTAGAAATTAAGTTCAAAATTAAGGATTATCTCCCTCACACATACCTCTAATCCTTAGACCTATTTGGCCCCAGCCTTTGACACCCCTTTTTTCAGCTTTTCCAAATTTTTTATTTAAATATTTCGGATTTCCAACGTTTCTGCATGAGCATCACTGATGAGACATAATTTGTCGAAATGCGCATCTGGTGCATCAAAATTAATACTGTATAAGATTTACACTTAACCATCAACGATACTTCACCGTTATGACAAGAGTTCTGTCCCTTCTTTATAGTCAGTTACATATATAGAAATAGACGTACATGTACTTCAAAATAAGATTTTCTTTTCTGATTTTGATCGGTGTTTTAACACAATATTTTGTGAGCTGTAGTTAATTTATAGCAAAATAATTTCTGTTGCATAAATTTTTTATGTGTAAAGATAAATGGCAAGGTTTGTTCAAATGAAGTTATAAATGATACCTGGATCTTACATACATGTATAATTAGTAATTTCGGGGGGGGGGGGGGGGTCAATTTGAAAGGGGCACAACCAAGCAAAAATATCTTAAAAGAATAATGGGGCACATTTATCAAATAGTTACATTTTATGTTTTCCATCGTATAGTATTTATTGGCAAGATTATTATGGGGGGGGGGGGGGGTCATTGTTCTGACTAACCTGATATAGTCAAAAGGATTGTTCTATTAAAACCGTTCTTTTATAAATCCTTTGGTATATAGCCAAAAGATATCCTGCCACGATTTTTATTTTAGACTTAAGACAGGTATCTAGATGTCAAGATTAAGATAAATCTTAATATTTTCAAAAAATATTAGAGTTTTGCTGAAGAGCTATGATCCCATTTTACGATAATTTTCTATCTTAAGTGAAATGGTCTCCAGGCTCCGGGATCATGAAACTGTCTTAAGTCTTAAGTCAGACTTAACTCCAAAAATTTGCACTTAAAATTTAAGATTGATCTTAAAGTGGATCACAAAAAAATGACTTAGAGTTAAGATTGGAATTTTGTCTTAAATTTTAAGACTGCTCATGGGCAGTCTTAAGTTTTAAGATTGTTGTTAAGTACATTAAATATGGCCGACCTTATTGGACGTATTCGCCGATATTTTCAACAAAATCCTCATAGAAGGCGACTTCCACGTCCACGTTTGTCTCGGGATAGATTTAATCCACTGGAAATGAGAGACGACGATGAACTATTCGAGAGATACCGTTTTCGACGTCCAACAATCATTTTTATTGTTGATTTAATTGACAACCACATTCGCCATCCTACAAGAAGATCCCTCTCTCTGCCAAGTCTTCTTCAGGTTCTCGTTTTCTTGCGTTTTGTTGCTACGGGGGCATTCCATCAGGTTGTAGGAGATTCCATACATATCTCCAAGTCCACTGCGGGGAGATGTATTCGTCGAGTGGCGGCTGCACTGGTGCACTGATTTTCCGGGAGATTTATTAAATTCCCTACAGGTCAAGATGCCGTCAATGTGAAAAGGAATTTCCATGCAATAGCAGGTATCAATCTATTCACGAATCAAAAACACACACTGCAACCAAATTCACATCCAACCCGCTTTGTAAACATTATATGCGACCTTCACATTTGTTACGATAGCGCCCTCTGTATGCAAGAATGTACTGTACCGTAAACACTCTCGTAAAGCAAACCATGTAATATGTTTACCTTTGGAAAAAGTCAATTCTCTTTAATGGCATTATACTTTTTTCTTCCATAAAGCAAGCACTTTTTGTGACGTTCACCCCCCCCCCTCCCCCCACTAATTTTGCAGATATATAGATTACTATAGTAAACATACATACTATATGCTTGTGCCCCCCACAATAAAAACATCTAATGACCTTTTTTTTTTTTTTTTTGCTTGTCAGGAAATTTTTGGTACTGCCCCCCTCAACTTCTAACTGAATAATGTTATGGCTCTTCCTACGGGCCTGTCCCTTGTTTACAAGATAACAGATTAAGCGTATTTAATTGATCCCCCCTTTTTTTTCTAACAACGGGCTAGTTTGACCCTTTTCCATTATAATTGACTTAATTTTCATTTAAGTCTAAAACACAAAATCCTCCCATGCATGAAGAAATTGTTTACCATAAAATAACATTTTATATATTTTATTATATTTTTAGTCGGGAATTTTTCCATGAAAGAATTATACGATGTTTTTTCTTTCTTTTTTTCTTCCATATATATCTCCCATGATAAGAATTTACTCGATAAATAATTATTATAAATATAATTTATGAACAAGAGACCCATACGGGCCACATTTTAGACTTATCCAAGAAAAATTAAACAGAATTGTACACCCCTATTCACAAATCTTTGCATGGTAAATTGGCAAATTAATTAAATTACTCTGTTGTGGTCCTTGCAAGTTTTTTTTAAAGTTAGTTATATATATATATATATATATATATATATATATATATATATATATATATATATATATATATATATATATATATATATATATATATTCCCGCAATTTTTTTTTTATCTCCAAATGGTTCCATTAAAAACAAAAAAAAAAAAAACAAATTTGAATTTTCAATTTCTGTGATGCCTGCATATTAAATTCACTAATTATGGTCCTGCCTAATTTTAACCCCACCCTAATAATTTTTTAAAAAAGGGTCCCAGGGACCATAATACTCACCTGCATCACACTTGCATTTTTTTCTGAAAAAAAAGATTAATTTTTGTCCAATAAAATTTTGGACCCCATATTGTGATTTGATGAATTTAAATCCTTTGAAAAATAATTATATTAATATGAGGAATCATAAGCCTGCTGTTCATGAGATTTCTAAAGTTTTCTTCCCTATATATTTCTATGCAAAACTTTGATCCCAGCAAATTGCCCAGATTTCCATATAAGTTGAAAATGTGAAAGTTTTAGACAAGTCAGAAAGATGGATGCCAGTTACTCTTGCATCAGATAAGCTTACTTAAGTTTTTGCCTCAAGTGAGCTAAAACTTCAACCCATAAAACTTGGGAATATTTGCATATCAATATCAATGTGATTAAAATTGGCCCTACTACTCTTAGAAAGTTTTATTCCTATGTATTCCTATGCAAAGATCTCATCTTCTTAGTATTGTGGCTTGATGTACCCTGCTCCAAGGGATCATAATCTGACACTGGTGTTGGTTTTCCTTCAAAAGGTTTTCCCGGAGTACTTGGCTGTATTGACGGTACTTTCATAAGGATACAAACACCCAAAGAAAATGAGCAGGATTTTGTGAACCGGAAAGGTTATCATTCCTTGAGTGTTCAGGTACAATGAGAATACAGTCAAACCTTGCTATCTCGAAGTCCATGGGACTGAGAAAAAACTTTGAGATATCTGAGTATTTGAGATATCAAGGGTAAAATACTGAAGGAATATGTAGTTGGGGATATCTATGTTTGAGATACCAAAGTTCAACTGTATTTCCCTTTTTTTTTCTTGGCTTGAAAAATATTTTTAAAAAATTAACAGAAACACAGATATGACAAGACAATAGGGTAATCTTTTTTTCATCTGAATTTTTCAGATGACATGTGACAGCATTTTTTGGTAACAAACTGTGTGGCAAGATGGCCGGGCTCTTGTCACGATCTAAGGATATTTCGGGAGAGCAGGCTGTGTGAGCAATTTGAAAATGGTAATACAATGTAATACCTCAGTACAGAAAGGAGTATAATTGTCTTGAAAGGTGATGGTCTATAGCTTGTAAACAAACATATGTATATAAATCACCTCAGAAGTTCAAACATCAATTTATTCACCATGTATGTTTTAATCATTGGAAATTTAAGCAGCAGATTTCTATGGACATAAAAAATTAACAGAATATTAAAACATTGAAACAATCATTAAATCAATGATAAACAAATCAATTAAAGTGCATATAATGGTTTCTGCATGGCAAACATTCTTGTAATCACCAGGTCAAATCAATGCCTTTCATATTACAGTTAAAACTATTAACAATGTATATCTACTGTAAAATTCAGTGATAAATTCATATTAAGTACATGTATTTTTTTTACCCTTCACTATTTCTAAAGGCTTGTGAAAAAACATTTTAATTTATTTAAATAAAGGGGAAAATTAAAATTACCCTTAAAGACTTCAACAAAATAAAAAATAATATTATTATTTCAAGGTGAACATGATGGAGTAATTTTGGGAGACTCAGCTTACCCCTGTAAAACTTTTTAATACTACTAATGATTTACGCTACAGGGAGAGGTTCAACAGGGCTCTTTGTAGGACAAGAGTCCTCATTGAACAAACTTATGGTATTCTTAAAAGGAGATTCCCCTGTTTGTCAGTAGGACTTCGAACCAACCCGGACAGGGCCTGTATGTATGTTGTGGCATGCGTTACTCTACACAGTATAGGGATCCTACGCCAGGACATTGTAATCACAGACATTAACGACCTAGTAATAGCTGGTCCTGACATTGAGGACAACTTGCACATGATGAACCAAAATGGATTTGGTCACAGAGAATATATTGCTCATCAGTTCTTTAACTGAAAATATGTACAATCTGTAACTTTTGTTCACATCCTATTAAAAGATTTTGACAGTGCTTGATATCAAAAATATAGCGCTATCATTTTTTTCCTTTCCAAAATGATAGTTGAATAACATAATATGTTGCAAATTAATACATCAACTACCGATATATTAAAAAAAATTGTAGAATATGAATTAACTTTTTGATAAAGCAGTGGCACATGAACTACAAATACACAATTACTAATGCTAATTTGCTTCATCACGTATGCTGGTAAAAATATAAAGCATCATGTCCTCAAGAATTATCAAAAATTAAATTTATTTCATTTTCTTAGCAATTATTTCCAACTGCCTAAAATGAGTACAAGAAAGGTACCGTGAACGAGCTAACAAAATAATATCCCCCTATACAATGTTTTTACAGTGCCCATTCACTTATTTTGTAAATGTGACCTTGAACTTGCTAAAATGACCTTGGTTAAAATAAAAAATATGACTCATTCTCTGGTCATAAGTAAATGTGTTCTTTTTTAGTGAAATACTGATATCCAATGGTTCTCCATTAAAAAATATTGACCTGACATGAATTTTTACACTTTGCGTGCCAGTGACCTTAAACTTTCCCAAATGACCTTAGGTCAAGGTCAGGAGACACTTTTAAGTCAAAAACAATCTTTGCTCCAAGTATGTGCATCCAATGTTTCTCCATTTCAAAGTTATAGACCGGAAAACTTTTCAAAGTTATAGACCAGAAAACTTTGCAGAAAAATATGGGCAATGTAATCCCCCCCCCCCCCTTTCTTTATATGGGGTATAAAAATAAAAATGTCTAATTATACTTAATTGAAAAACAAATCAAAATCAAAAATGAGATCCATAACAGTAGTACAGTAATACAATGTCACTTGTCAAAAATTTTATAAATATATTAAATTGCTATTAATGTGTAAAACAAATTTAATAATGCAAAGTCATAGATCTTTAATTCTACAAAGAAGAAATAAAACATTCAGTGAATTATTACATGTATAGCAAATGCACATACTTATGAGAAACCAATTAAGCATGTATGTAGATACAAAATATCATAATGATGTCATAATGTTTGGAAATACACATACGTACAGTATGAGAATAATTGGATGGATGTTATCAATGTGTAAAGAATACATTTTACATACTTAATAAATTTAATTTGACCAGAGAGACATTTAATTATCAGCCAGAGGACAGGAAAGAAGGCAAAATAAAAGTTAAAAGTTTACAGACACATATATAGACAGACTGACGCCAGACAAATTGTGATCAGAAAAGCTCATAAGAATTACTATATATAGTAACTACCGCATGATGTATGTCACAACAAATGTATCAACACCCATGCATTACTACTCCCATGACAGTAATACAAAGCTAAAGGCATGCATTACAGCTTTGTAATACATGGATGTTGATACATCTGTTGTGAAGTCAGGCACATCGCACATGCAAAAACCAGTGTATTTATTACCACCTATTTAATAAAATTTACATTTCATTCATAAGGTGTTCGAAATTGAAAAAGGGATCTTTCTGTTTAATTTTTAACATTACATGCTGTTTCTGAAGATGGGCAAGCTGTTGTTGTTCTTTAATAAGCTTTCTTCTTTCTTTGATGTTGATTAGTTCTTCTTGAAGAAGCATTTCTGGTGTAACTTTCAAATGAACCTGAGGCTCTGTTGATGAAGTGGTAGATGTGGAGGGCAGAGGCTGTGTTTGTGGTAATAAATGCTCAAGTTGAGTGGTCTCACTAGTCAAATCAAATTCATGCAAGGCATGGTTGTCATCCAAGAAATCTACAACTGATTCTGCAAGAATGATTTTTTTTTTAATTTAACTTGTTGTGTCATAATGCCCCTGCAGTGGGGCATAAAAAAATTACATAATTTTTTGGATATACATTCAAATTCATATCTCAGATTTTTGATAATTAATTGATCTGATTTTTTTTTATTCATAATTTTTTTTTTATTGATGACTCTATCAACAAAAATTATCCCTGTAAAATTCATCTTTTTTTTATATACTTTAATAGTTCACCATACACTAAATAAAATAATCATTAATGTTATTGTGCATTAAAAACTTATTCATTTATTATTATTATTCATTACCAGCTGCAGTGTCTATTCCACTAGGAAGGCCACATAGACTTGGTCTGCCTTCCAAGTTGTCCAACAACAACTGTTCACCAACATTCGGGGATGATGGTTTTTTCCCTCCCTCAGTCTTAGGGTTCAAAATAGCACTTCTCTTCTCTTTTGCTACAATAAAGATATAGACAATCCATACATGCCAACTTTTGAAAATTCCCATGGGGGATTTTGCGCGTGACAACAATTTTCAAAGTTTTTAATTCTCGACATTTTGTGGTGAAAATAAATGTTGATCCCATTTATAAAATTTATAGTATTCAGACATCATTTATTAATACAGCTTTGAGGCTAAATAACACAAACAAAATTCTTCCTTCCAAAATTCAAATACATGTATCTAAATTTGCTTAAATAGGTGCCTCTATCTCTAAAGAAGTGATATCTATTTAGATAAACAACATTATGTTTGACCAAGACACATAATTTGGTGAAAAATGGGAAAATGTACAACTTTCAGTTCAATAAAATTTTTTGTAATGTTTTAGAAATATATGAAGTTTTGTTAATTTAAAGTTTCTGGGAAACATTTTTAATAAGATTCTATATTAACATTTTACACAATTAGAATTTCCTAATCAGACATTAAATTGAAAGAAATATTGAAAAATTCCCATGCTTTTATTTTCTTTATTTTGTTTATTCATTTATTTATTTTTATTTTATTATCATTCTTTTCTCTTTTTTTTTTGGGGGGGGGGGAGGGATAAGAAAATTTATTTAATCTTAAAATCTCTTGGGCATGCACTGTTATATAATCAATTTTATTTTAATTATTACTTATGAATTTAAATATCTAATATTTTTATGTATTTATAAATTCTCAGAAGAGCATCATACCTTTCTGTTTGATGTTCTGGTATTTCTTCTTTATTTCATCACATCTCTGCACGAACTAAATGTACTTCCACTACGGAAAAAAAACATGAATCTATTTAACAAACTATAATAATTTAATATTTCTGTTAACCAGCTGTGGTTAATTTTTAATATTTTATTTTCCATAATAAAGAATATATACATGTACTCATGTAGATACTTTGCAATATCTATTTATAGCTTTCGGGTTTCCCCTTTTGTGCATTTTGCTTTTCTACTAAATTGCATACAATATTTTAAAATCTTAAGACTATTGTATCTTTGTATATGCATGAGTTATTTGCTTAAAATCAGCTGTTGTAATGCACAGTCCGAGTTTTTAAGTTCGTTAGTGGTTGTGCTGTCGTATAATCACAACTAGGCCTATATATATAGCTGCATTACTGATAGTATGAACACCGTTTAAACTGCCACAGTCTAGTAGATTTTTAAGACATCATTGGTTTTCTTTTCAATTAGTTTTCATCAAAGTTTTATTTTGTGGCAATGCATAATGATTTGGGGAAAATGTGGTATGTCAACACTTACGCATTGATTAGGTCAGTGACCTCTTTCCAGGCCTTTGTCTTATCAACAGAAGTCCTCCCTGACCCGTCTAATTTTCCGAAGAGTACCTTCTCCCTCTTCTGTACCTCCTCCACTAATGTAATCTCTTCCCTGGGGTCCCAGTTACTTTTTCTTATTCGTTTTTTGGGAGTTTCTGCATCCATTGCGTAACTAATGTAAGCAGACGAAAATTGTATCTCCAAAACATTGGAGAGTTCCACATTTACCGTATACGCTCTAAACACCGCGTGAGTTACTATGACAATAAAGGGTTTTTTAAGTAAGACAAATCTTAACTAAGTTTTTGCTAAGATCATTTTGTGATCCACTTAAGTAAGCGATCTTAGCTAAGTCTAAATCTTAAATTTAAGTAAAAAATCTGACTTAAATTTAAGACAGTTTCATAATCCCGGAGCCAGGCTCCGGGATCATGAAACTGTCTTAAGTCTTAAGTCAGACTTAACTCCAAAAATTTGCACTTAAAATTTAAGATTGTTCTTAAAGTGGATCACAAAAAAATGACTTAGAGTTAAGATTGGAATTTTGTCTTAAATTTTAAGACTGCTCATGGGCAGTCTTAAGTTTTAAGATTGATCTTAAGTTCTTTCAAAATGGCCGCTGTTGTTGGTTTCTTGAGACGTGTTCAAGGGGGAAATGTTGATACTGTCCGGCGAAGACGGCGTCTCCCTCGCCCCAGGCTTTTCAGGGATCGGTTGAATCCACTGGACCTACGAACAGATGACGAGTTGTTCGAGAGATATCGTTTTCGCCGCCCTACGATAATGTTTATTTACGACACCATTCAGGACAGAATAACCCATCCTACCAAGAGATCGTTGGCCCTTCCAGCGATGATTCAGCTGCTGGTTTTCCTCCAGTTTGTGGCTACGGGGGCCTTCCATCAACTTGTGGGGGATGCCATCCACATCTCCAAAGCCACGGCAGGACGATGCATCCGCAGGGTGGCATCTGCAATAGCGAATGTTGCTGGCCGTTTTATTCGCTTTCCTTCTGGACAGGATGCCACCAACGTAAAGAGAATGTTTCATGCTATCGCAGGTAAGAATCCATGGCTTTTCACTTACATATTTCGAGACCTTCGCATTGAAAACAAACAACAGCGCCCCCTTGAATCAGTAAACACGTTTCGTTCTATAAGCATTTCGGTTCTACCTTTTCGACCCATATCTCAAGTCACTGTTTTAAATGCATTTATGTATTTCTTACATCTAAGAAAAAAATAAGGATCCCTCGAACATTATCAATTGTAATCATTATATATATGTGTGTTTTAGTGAGTGTGTATTGTTACTAAATTACATGTATATATACAATATGCGACAGAAAAGGGGGGTGGGTGGGGGGTAACTCCAAAATCAGTCATATTGTACATTGAAATCTTTACTATTCTACTCTTCATAACTTTATTATCATGTTCAGTAAATAATTAATCCTATTTTGATATGTTCATAACTATAACTTCTGTATGATTTTAAAAATAAAAAGGGAATCGGATATCATCAAAAGGTATATATATTTACTCACACAAACAAATTGAAAACTTATGATATTTGCTGCTATTGGCCTGATGAAAATATTAATCTATGAAATCTATTTATTGTAGGGTTCCCTGGTGTCTTGGGATGTGTTGATGGTACTTTTATCCGCATCCAAACTCCTACTGAAAATGAGCCTGATTATGTGAATAGAAAAGGATATCATTCTTTAAATGTCATGGTAATTGTTTTTTGATTCAAAATGATTTTAAATTAAAAAAAAAAAACATTAAAAGAGCTAAATAAGCTTTCAATGATTTAAATTTAGAAATAAAGTAGGCAATAAATCCGCTTATATGTGAATCCATCACAATCATTGACTTTAAAGATAAATAACATGCATGTATTATGAAAATTAAATTTACAAACAATAAATTAATGTTTAATTTGATCATATTTCAGATGACCTGTGATGCTAATTTTATGGTGACCAACTGTGTTGCCAAGTGGCCAGGATCTTGTCATGATTCAAGGGTTTTCCGAGAAAGTGTTCTCTGTCAGCAGTTTGAGAATGGTAAATAATATCACATGCAGTTAATTTTAACTGAATTTTGATAGAATATTTTTACTTAACTGTGATATTCCTATACCTCCCTGAAGATATATATGTAATAAGTGTAAGAAAAATATGGCAAATAAAACAAAACTAAATAAGGAACAGGAAAAAAACTGTAATGTTTATCAGTAATTATATGTACTGACATAAAGTAGATTTAAGGTATTTTTTTTTTCAAATGATAAAGTCATATGGCCCATAAAGGCCAGACAATAAACGCAATTTGAGTTTTAGTATATGTACATGTAGTTAAAATATTTTCAACATCTGCTGAATCATACTGAAATCTTCGTCATTTTGCTTTCCAGACCTTTTAGTAATTCTGAATTTATTTTTTTTTTTAATATATTAATTTCATGATTTTTCAGGTCAGCATAATGGTATACTTTTGGGGGACTCTGGGTACCCTTGTCGGACATATCTAATGACGCCTTACAACAATACCAATGATGTCAGGTACAGAGAGCGATACAACAGTGCACTGTGTAGAACACGAGTCCTTATCGAGCAGACATACGGCATACTAAAGAGAAGATTCCCTTGCCTTTCCATTGGCCTTAGAACAAGCCCAGAAAGAGCCTGTCAGTATGTGATAACCTGTGTTGTCCTGCATAACATAGGGATCCTGAGGCAAGATATTGTGTCCCTTGACCCACGTGACCTAATCATAGCCGGCCCAGATGTGGATGAGATCAATCACGGTAACAACAATGGTTTTGGATACAGAGAACTCATTGCCAGACAATGTTTTGATTACTAATTAATATCTCAGGCCATTCTCTTCTTAATTCATGAGAAACTAGGAAAGAATAATAATTTATAACTTGTTCAGTTCTTACATAATATACAGTCATAATCACAAAGCAGAAGTCATTTATAAATTTATACTGCTTGCAGTTTATTTAATGTTTTCTCCCAATATCAGTTAAATCACACAGTGCACTGTTGTATCACTCTCTGTACCTAGTACATCATTGGTATTGTTGTAAGGTTACAAACATACCAATACATTTCAGTATGTATCTGTCAGTGTGATAAATCATTATTATTAATAGTAATATTCTGTGTTCGTTTTAGCAATTATTACAACTACCAGTATATGAAATATATTTACCTTAATAGTTCAACCAGTATATTATATTCCGTTATTTACATGTAGTTATAATAAGGAAATTTCCCTTTATTTGTGGTTCCTATTATATAAGATTTATGAAGACTGGAGCCCCCTTTAAGCAGCTTAAGGCTGAGGTTAAAGTAAGTCAAACTCAAAGGTCAAGGTCATGAATTCAAAAGTGCTGATACCCAAAGAAAGGTCTTGTAAAAATAATTCATGTGTGAATCATGAAAGCCCTAGCTAGCTATCACCAGCCTTCAGAAGTTATAGCCGAGGTGGGTTATTTTCATTAAAGATAGGTCACACTTAAAGGTCAAGGTCATGAGGTCATACATGAAAGAAAGGTCTTGTTATAATGAATATTCATCTTAAATATGAAAACCATACCACCTCCATTCATAAGTTATGAAGTTAAAATTTTTGGCGACACAGCCAGTCAGACATATTCTATATACTCCTAAATATTTTATTATAGGGCATAAAAATTATTCCCTCTCTATATCTCATCTCATATTTCTTGAAAGCAGCAAGTGTCAATATGGATTGTCTTGCAGTGTAGTATTTTTCTTTTTCTTTTTTTTGTGACACTCTGTGAGTCATTCTATGAGACACAAGATACTTATAATGAAAATAAAACAAATTTATTGCAATGAAAGCAATGATAATAATATGATTGCTTAACTTTCCTTCAACATTAACAATGCAGTAAAATATCTACTACCAACAAATGACACATGAGGGAAAAAATGTGTAACTTAATAATGTAAAAAAAATTTGATTTTCATGAAGTTAATTAATAATCTTGCATTTTGAACTGAATTATGAAAAAAAAAATTGGCCCAAATCAATTTGATTATTCGTGTATATGCAGCATATTAGTTTGTAAAGTTTATCCTTCATTGTTGTGTCTATTTCATAACAATTTAGTTAAACAGTTTCTAAATGGATGCATGATGAAGTTCAATTTACAATTAACATGCACCAATGCATTGTACTTTATTTTATATTTCAAATGCATTAAATGTACTTTAATTATTTTATATTTCAATAAGAGAAATATTCTAATTAAATTCAGTGCAATTTTTTTTTAGCACATGCATGCTTATGCATGACTGCGTAAAGGGAAACAACTCTTGACTTTAAAATGGGATATTTTGCAATGTATTGATAAGCACCTTATGTTTTTTACATAACCTAAAGCATCACCATTGTCATATTGTTTTGACTATCAATGTGTATGGGCATTTTTTAAAGTTAAATTGTCATCCAAACAAAACAATAATAATTATATGAAAGATGTTCAAATAAAAAAATTACAAGATAAATGATAACAATTAATAGCAAATTAAAGCTTATTCAATATTCCCATTTGTTTCTGACATATGTACAGTATATGGAATTGTACTCAGTGATAATAACTTGTATATTTTTTCTTAAAATAACAACTTTTAGAAAATATACCACTAAAGATTTAACAATTTCAAAGAACAGAAAATGATGGGAATTAATTATACTGTATTTATAAACATGTACAACATCTGTTAAATTAAAAAAAAACAAACTGGAAAATTGTGAATTTTATTATACATATATCATGTTAGTTGATTGTCAGTGATATCAATGCTCAATGAAGGATTTTAGAAAACACTGAATATGTCTTATTGCTTTTTTTAAACTTTGATACTTGAATCAAAAGCTGAATTGATATAACATATGGCTTATTGTATAAGACTCAGTTTTTCTTTCCATTTGATAGAAGCAAATTTTAAAGAAAATTGTCAAGAAAAACAAAAACATATATATCATAGATACTAAAATGTAATTTGAACAAAAAGAGTGGACTGAATCAACAACAAGAATTACCAATATTTCAAAGCAGTAAATGATGGATTTAGTATGTATACAATTTGTCTGTAAATCCAAAAAAAGTACAAATAT